TCTGTTTTCTGCTGTGCCAAGGGAGGCCTTCACCCCCAAATTTTCCTCTCTAATTAAATAGGTGTTATTTACGGTTAAAATTATATAAATATGTAAGGGGGAAAATCCCCGACTGAATTCTGGCATCAGTACCCAAAATAAGTTTCAATGTAGTCATGTGTTGGGGCCTGGTAGAAGATGTCCAACGGAGCTCTAAGTCAGCGTGCCTCGAAGCACGGTTCACAGACACGCCTGGGTTAACTTGGGAGGGAGAGGGTTAAAATGCATAGTCAGGGAGGCTCGCCTTAGATTGACTAAATCAGAGTGTTTGGGGTGGGCCCCAGAATCTGCATTTTCTCCAGCTCCCTGGGTAATTATTGTGCATTGTAAAGTCTGAGAAGCTCTGCTTCCAAGGGATCTCCAAGCTATGTTGAGAAATGCCCTGAGGGTTTAAAATACAGAGATGGGGCTTGGGGTTAAAATTACAACTAGGGCAAATCAATAAACACAAAGAGATAAAATCATCCTTAGGTCTCATCATCCTTAGTGTTAATAAACATCGTTAACATTTCCGTATGTAATCTTCTAACTTTGCCTTTATGCACATTTTTTTCCATTACAAAAGGCGAGTACACACTTGCATTTTGTTGGAATTGACTTCATGAACGTAATATGTCTTTTGATAAAGAGGCTCATTCTTCACTGCAGGGCTGGCTGACAGGGGAGCGAGGGGCAGTGCCCAGAGGCAGACGACATCTCGCCAGGATCTGTGCCTTTAATAAGCAGAGGTGGTATTGCTGGGGAACGGACAGCTGCTGACATGACAGAGTTATTATAGAAACATATTTAATTTTGGAACAGAGACAGGTATTCTCTGATTGGTGGGTCTCTGGGAATACACATAACTTGTGTCATGAATATGCCTTGCAGTTTAGAAGGCATCTTGTAAAGAGACAACACAAAGGGTCTTCAAACCAAAAGGCATAGCAAGCAATTGTCAAAACACAGTGCCATGCTGTGTGCTGTCAGCTTCTGTCCACCCGCTTTCTCAAAAACCTAGCTGAGCTCTTTTATTCGAGGGGAGCTGAAGGAAGAGGAGCGCCCAATTCCAGCACAGTAAGTCTGTTTTAACATTTTGGACACCCCAGTGGAAAGCTCTAATGGTCTCTTGTTTTCCATATCTGCTGAGTCTACAAGGCTTTGCACTGTTTGCTTTTCTGTTTTCATGGTTGAAGTGTTTGAATAGAAAGTTGCCAGGTTTAGCAAATGAAAATACAGGACATCTAGTTAAATTTGAATCTCAGATAAGCAACAAATAAATTTTGGTTGTGAGTGTTACAACATTCAAGCCAGGCTTATGCTAAAAAATTATCTGTTGTTTTTCTAGAATTCAAGTTTAACGAGGTGTCCTGTATTTTATCTGGTAACCCCCTATTCAGAGGGAAATGTTGGTTCAGAACTGTAATTTCTTAATTAGAAGTAAAACCACTTCAGTCAAGCTAGAAGCAATGTGGATTTTCATTAATAACGACTTTCTGTGTTTCAAAAGTGTTTCCCGTGGAGATAAAGAAAACGACTCTGTCTAATGTAACATCAGCTACGTGAAGAAGATAGCGGGCAAGGAATCCAACTTTCACCTCGCAGCGTGGTGGCAGACGTCCTCTGCTTGCTTCCTGCCTCCTCTGTGTGATTGGCAGTGGGGAGAGCATTGGCTGTTTGGATATATAGGAATTTTCTCAATCTTTTGGCTGCCGGTCATGCTCCTCAGGTAATGGTCCAGACACAAGGTTGTGTTGCTACCTCCCAAATTTGTGCCCACAGGGGTTGCAGAAAGCCAGAAAGAAACACAAAGTGATTCTTCTCTGTGATTGATTAATGGCTTAATGATGATCTTTCCCCAACAACAATAGTTTGAATGTATCCATGAGAAGTAATCAGCACTCTGGATGGGCAGATGGCCTTTAGATTCTATCCAAGTCCTATAATTCCCATTAGTGCACAGGTAATTAGAGCAGTGACGGTTTCTGCAAACACCTGATGGACCCTGAAATGGGTTAAGTGTGCTTGGGACAATAGGAGACCCCATTCTACCCAGCCCCCACCCCCAACACTTAAGTTTTAGAATCCTCAGTCTTAATGCTATCTCTACCCACCTAATTTTAAAAAGTTGCTTCTCCTAACCACTGTATTTTCTCCTGTTGATATGTCCAAGGAGTTTCCAAAGATGCATGTGAAATCATACAGGTCTTAGATGAAGTTTTCACTTGTCGGCATCAAAATAAGGGTTGGGGGAAAGGATATGGCCCATAAGCTTTTTGTTAAGCTACTCTTATTCTGAAGAATATAACCTTCTTCCTTTGTTTTCTTCCTCCTTCTGTTTTGATGTTAAATTACCTTTGTTTGTGATGTCAGTTCTGTTTGCTTTGTTTTCTATTGTTCATGTCCTCAGTTCAGGAAAGAAGTGCTGCTGGGTCATATGTTGGTGGCCCCATATTTGTAGGCTACATATGCATTCTACATTTATGCTTCAGTTCAGTGATCCAGGAAACCCAAAACATTTGGGAGCCATGATGTGCTTGTTCACTATTTCCAGAGAGGGTATATTGGTTTGCTAGGGCTTCCATAACAAAATGCCACAAACAGAGTGGCTTAAACCATGGAAATATTGATTTCTCCTGAGGCTTCTGTCCTTGGCGTGCAGATGGCCACCTTCTCACAGCATCCTCATACGCTCTTATCCTGTGTACATACTGCTACATCCGTGGGGTCTCTCTAAATTTTCTTTTCTTGTAAGGATACCAGTCATGTTAACACCCCCGTTTTAACATAATCACTGCTTTAAAGATGCCCATCTTCAAAATATAGTCACATTCTAAGGTACCAGAGATTCAGATTTCAACATATGAATATGAGAGTGACACAACTCAGCACATAGTGGATGATATTCTGGTCTGGAAAACAGTGCAGTGTAGAAGAAAGAATAGAAGGACCCAGAGTCAGGCAGACAGGGTGTGAACCTGGGATCTGCCCTTTCTTGGCCTTCTACCCCTGGGCACTCAGCTTAAGCACTTCCTTTTACATATAACTGGGATCCAAGCTACTTCAGACACCTGTCATAGCAAAGCTGTTTTAACATAATTCATGATACACAAGGAGTGTCCAAAGAATATTTGTTACCTGATCTGCACCTCTTTTTACCCCTTATTTATCAGAGAATTAAACAAAACTGCTCAGCACACATTACAGAATCAAGACATTTGCAAATGTTCAAATTTAAAAAGCTAAGTAGTGCTCACTTGAGCAGCACATGTACTAAAAATTAGAATGATACAGAGAAGATTCACATGACCAAAAGTAAAAAATAAAAAAAAATAAAATGTTAAGTTAGGGTAGTATTGACCAAGAGACTACTATGAGACTGCCCTGTTGGGTAGGGTTAATTCTGGAAGACTGCCTCCAGGAAGTTTGAAAAGCACTTAGTGCATTGAGAATTATTAAGTCTTTGACAGGGAAGGATTACCAGAAAGCATCAAATCCTGGATCCACACAGTGTGGGACATGTCCCACCAGTGACATGAGTGATATTTTTATGTAGTGCATAGGCATTAAACATGTACTCACTCAGTGACAATCTTTTCTCTTTAACTCCTTCAACCATTCTGATTATATCAAGAAGAAAAGTCGTGGTTTGTGCTAGACTATCTTTAGCACTTATGCTAACATTTAATAAGAACCCATTTTCCAAAAAAATATTAGGCTGCTGGATCACTGTGTCAGAGACGAGCATATCTAGATTATTAAAAATGTATCTGAGTTTCTTTTTCTTTATTTTTCCAGTTATCTTCTGTTTACATTTTATTCCATTTATATTGGTGATATAAAGATTTTTAACCAAACTTTAATTTTAAAAGGAAGTTAATTTTAAATCCCAAAGTAATAATAATACAGGTAGTACGTGGTTACAGCAAAGCAACATAACAGTGACCCAACAATGAATGAAATTTAAGAAATATTGGTTTATCCTCAACCCTTTCATAATAAAATACATGAGAAACTGAGACTCAGGAAAAGGTTTTCCAAGATCACATAACTAGCTCTCATCAGGACTACTGCTCAGTTCTCCTCTGCCCCTTCTCACATAAGTAACTCTGCAGCAGATGATAAATACTACGGTGTTAAAGTGAAAGTAACTGGATATAAAGTAATCCACAGACATTGTGATGTGAATTGTCAGGAAGATTATGGCTCAAAAAGCTGGCGCCTGCTACAGGGAGGCATAGAGAAGGCGCAGACTTATTGTGTAGCGCCTTATGCTGGAGACCTGAGCGCCCCAATTGCCCTGGCCACCAACAAAAGTCTTTGGGCCAGCCCCAAAGGTTGCAGCAGCAGAGATTCCTCTTGGAAACAAGCAAAGGTGGCTTGAATCCCAGTTTCTCTACTTGGAAAAACAAACGACAAAAGAACAAAAAAACACTGTACCTGTCTCTTTACCCATCTGTAAATATTTATAGGGATGATAACAGCTAACACTTATGCTGCACTTGTCATCTGCCAACCACCTCTGATGCCTTACCTCACTTAACCCTCCCAATAACACGGGAAGGGGGTTATCATCAGCCCATAGGAAAGGTGAGCGCATTTGCACTCAGAATGCTTGCATCGCTTATCTGCATCTCTAGAGCGCAAACAAGAAATGGAATAGGCTTCAAACCCAAGCAGTTTTACTCTGGAGTCTGGCCTTAATGCCACCATGCAAATTAAATGCAGATGACGCTTGCAAAGTACCCCGAGCACCGCCTGGCATACAAGGAGGTGAGAAACGTCAGCACCTCCAGCGCCCTCAGGGCAGCGGGAGTCACGTGCAGCCTGGCATCCAGAACCTTCGCGGTGGCGGTTGGACCTCACCTGGCACTACACCTCCCAGCATGCCCCCGCGGCAAGCTGGCCAATCAGGACGCAGGGCCTCACAGTCACCGCCCCGCCCACCTGCGGCGCAGCCGTAACCTCTGTGGCGGTTGGCCCGCCGTTCTTGGTGTTGAGCGTTAACCGATTTTGAAGTTTCCTAATCTGGCTCCAGAGGGTAAGGACTGTCGGCGTCCCCAGGATGCCTGAGCCTGCATGTTTAGTGGCCCAGCAGGGCGGTGAGGTGGGCTGGCCTGAGGGCTTCCACCCGCTGCCCTCTACCGCCGTACGGCTCCCCGTGCAGTCGGTTGGGTCCCCGGGGGACGGTCAGGAATGGTGGTTGTCCCCGGGCCCGGGTCACTCTGAGTGCTTGTTAAGTTGTCCCAATCCGGTTTGGAAGGGTGAGGACTAAGCTTTCGGATGCCTTGGGTGCCTTCTTCATCAGAAGACTTGGGGCTCCAAATAGGTGTCAGCTGGGCCAATGCGGGGACTTGGCCTTTGCAATGGCAACTGCAGTAATAATAATCTCCCACGGGATTGAGGGGTGGAGCGGCGTCCTCTGGCTGGGGGATAGTGCTTCAGTGGCCTCACTGCCTTCAGCCTACAGCATCTTGTCCTCTGATCCCTCACTCCTGCCCCATGCCCTGGTCTCCACTTCTCCCGTCTCCTTGAAGTGTCTAATGACCGACCTCCCCTTTCCCTGTGTGGCTGGCCTGGCTGGGCCCCCTGGAGCAGGCTTGACCCAGGTCTTATATGTGTGCAGTCCAGTATGTTCTGGACACTGCTGTGCCCTCTGACACCACCATGCCACCCACTGGGCCCTCGGGAGGCCCTGGATAGCCAGACACCTGAAGCGTGCAGAGTCCACTATCTTGGACATTTCTCTAATCATTTACTTTCTACTTCAATTCTGTTTTATCATATGGTTTAATTTTTGTATATTTATTCCTCGTTTTCAAAGTTCTTTAATTCCACCCCCCTCCTACTCCCCCCCCCCTTTAAAAAGTCATTTCTCTCTTGTCCTCAAGTGTGAATCTTTAGGTTTGGCATGCCCAAGAAAGAGCTGACCATTCATTTTTAAGGTATGGGGCCTTAGAGGTAGATTCAAAGTGTATTTTGTTCACTGATGTCTGGAAAACAAAATTAGTTCTTTTACAGTGTCTCTAAAGTGAGTGAGAAAAATTGGATAAAATTCCTGCCGTTTGGGGGAAAGCAGAAGCAAGAATTGGCTTAAAGGTTAGTCTGTTTTCCTTCTTTTGGACAAGCAGCCTGACACACAACTGTCCGTCTTTCGCTCTGCTGGAATTGTGTGTGCTAATCGAGGTTTACTTTTTCAAGTCACTTTGAGAAATTTGAATGACTGAAGTTACTATCTAGTGACCTAGCTCTCCATATATTTGTATCTGACACAACTGCTTAGATACATGTACTGTGTATATATAACATAGTAATGGACTAATTTATACCTTTCAGTTAACCAAAATTAAAGTGTGTTGAATTATCCTAATTTTACCCGAGATAAAGTAGCCATTTTGTGATCCTCTCAGTTAATGAATTATAATCAAATCTTACTGTGAGTTTTCCGGTGTACTTAAATTATATGTGGACTCTGTCATTCAAGAGTAAGTTAGAAATAGATACTGACTTACATAAACGAAATTAGAGAAGATCTTACAATTAATTACTAAACTGGTAGTTTATAAGTGGTGAGGGTTTTTGAAAAAGAGATCTTTTCATTTCCATTGTAAGCCCCATCTTGTGTATTTGGTTTGATTAAAAAAAAAAAAAAACACCTTATGCTAAGAATTCTAGTTGGAACTTATGTAAAATTGATACCTTCTTATATACCTTCTTGATACCTTCTAAGTATATATTTATAAAGTCTTATTTCAACAGTTATTTCACTTCTGAAATAACATTTTTCTTTTAAAAATACTGAAAATTTAAATAATTTTAAAGTGCACATGATTCTTCTCATTTATGCTTTGTTTTTGTTTCTCTTTTAAAATCAGATGTTTAAGAATAATGTTACTGAACATAAGCTAAATGTGGAAGCCATAATCAAAAACATTAACACAATTTCTTTGGAGTTGAAAAAGATGAAAGGTATGTATTGAATCACTAGATTAAAATGTTTGTGTTATTGTCATAAAATAAAGAGCAGAGCCAATTTGTGCTTCTGCTGGGATGTAAATGAATTTCGCCCACTAATTAGGATTTCTTATTTCTTAAAAAAGTTTGCATTGCAGTATGAACTAGATCTCTAGAGATGAATTATGTTTGATCTGTAAGTCAGCAAACCTGACTTCTTATCTCTAACACTAAAGTTTAGCATTTTGTCCAACTAATCTCTCCGAATTGACTTCCTTCCCTTCCCGACACCATGATGGTGTAGTTGTGTCACATTCTACAAAATTCAGCTTCTTTCTCCATGAATTCTTACTAAGCCCCTGAAGTTTATTCCAAATTAAAAAGTATAAATTTGGTTCTGTGATTTAGGCCTCTTCATTTTAAACAGATTCATACAGTAGGAGTAGACCTTAGGAGGCCATAATGTTTAGTCTCTCACCTCCCAGACATATTCTGTTATTTTGTCCTAGACACACCATATTTCTGTGATTGAATATTTCTAGGGTTAATCTATCCCCGCCCAAAGATTTCTTGTATTGGAAGACTCCCTATCTCATCAGTCAACCCATTCCATTTTAGACAATTCCTCATTATGAACTAGCTGAAGTCCGTCCTCCTATTCATCTATGAGTCCTATTTCTAACCATGAAAATTACACTGAATATGTAGTTTTTCTTCTCCTAACAACTCCTGGATATTTAAAGATAACCTCTCTGTCTGTTATGAGGTCTTCAGCTATAAGTAACACAACAGCAACTTAACATGACTTATGCAATAAGGAATAATAAGAAGGTCCAAGGTAGGATAGCCCTAAAGTTAATTCATAGGTTTAAAGATCTCATAAGGAACCAGGTTCTTTTTATTTTTCTGCTCTGTCACCTTTACTTTACCACTCCTCATGGTATTATCTTCAGAGGTAGCCGAATTCAGACACTGTCTTTTCTGGTGCCTCTGCCTGTGTAGATAAGCCTTTCCCCAAATCCCTCCAGCACATTTGCCCTATCCTTTCATTGGCTAGATTTGCATCACTTGCGAATGCCTACAGCAGCCATGGCCAAGGGGACTGGGATTGCCAAGACCAGTTTGGACCAGTCAGGACTTACTGCTGGAGCTGGGGAGAGGAGTACCTCAAACGAAATCAAGTTGTACCATCAAGAAGAAGAGAGGAGTGGCTATTAGTTAGGCACCAAATAGTGAGTGCCTATTATGCTTTTCCACGTGTTCTCCCTCCGGCAGCATTTCCCAGACTTGGTTCTGGGAACCCTGCTGTCTCAAGAGGTGTCAATAGATGGCATGTAATGAAACAGAGTCCATGTTCTCACAGTCAGATATGTTTGAGAAGTGTTTTGTGCTATATATTTCTCTCACAAATTCAGAGTGCATGTTAACAAAAGCTGTACGTAAAGAAATCTGATTAGGGCGGCACCTGTGGCTCAGTGAGTAGGGCACCGGCCCCATATACTGAGGGTGATGGGTTCAAACCCAGCTCCAGCCTAACTGCAACAAAAAAAATAGCTGGATGTTGTGGCAGGCGCCTGTAGTCCCAGCTACTTGGGAGGCTGAGGCAAGAGAATTGCCTAAGCCCAAGGAGTTGGAGGTTGCTGTGAGCTGTGACTTCATGGCACTCCATGGAGGGTTAATAAGTGAAACTCTGTCTCAAAAAAAAAAAAAAAAGAGAAATCTGATTAGCTTTGCTTAGTTTAGCATCTCTCATTCATGCTTAGTTTAGCGTACTCGCTTTCTAAAATGCCAATCTGCAGAAAACCCTTGTCTCACCGTTGTCCTCAGGATGAAGTCCAAACCACCTAGAATGGACTACATGACCTCTTGAGATCACACCCCTGCCTCCATCCAGTTCCTTAATCTTATTCTTGCACATTCCATGTTCCAGCCATACTGAATCATTTACTCTCTTTTGTAGGTCTCTTAACACGTATATCTCCTTCTGAAATCCCATTGCTAAACTCTACCTACACACCAGGTTCACTGCTTCTAATTTAGGTCACTATAAAAGTTTTGAAACAGACTATGTTATGGTCCGTTATTTCACTTCCAAGAAATACAGTAGATAGCATCCTTTCTGATTCACCCGCGCAAGTTTGAACTTGCTTGGCTTATTGGTGTTGCTGAGAGGGCTTCGTTTTTGTTGTTGTTGTCGTCGACACAGATACATAGTAGTTAAGGTCACTTAACATTAGAAAACTATTTTTTAAGCCAGTATGTTATCCCTGGTATCCTTTCCTGTGAATTATCACACTATTTTCAAATTGCATACTTGCTCACTTTTCCTATCCCTACTCAACTGTAAGCTTCCTGAGGGTATTCTAGCACTTAACACAGTGCCTTGATAAATCCTTAGAAAATGTTTATTAAAGGAATAAATGGTTCTGGATACTTGAACCCATTTAAAGCAATTAGAGAAACTTTAGATTCTTGCCACACTTGATGGTCTAATTATTCTAGTTTGGGGAGTATTCCTTAATGAAGTAAATAGAAATAATAAATAGGACATATGTGTTCCTGAGACAAGTGAGTAGATCAGGCAGTTAGGATATGAGGGACCTATCGAACTAGATTAGCAGGATAGACTTCTGGTAAACATATGGGATTAACTGAACATTCCATATTCCCTCCCTTCTTCTGCCAAATAATGTCAGCAGCTAACAGTTACCATCATCCAGGCACTTGTCTAAGAGCTCTACATAAAATAACTCAATTACCATAACAACTCTGTGAGGTAGAAAACTATTAATATTTACATTTACAGAAATACAGGTACTTCAAGAAATTACCATTAATATCCACAGAGATAAAGAAAAGTGAAAAGAGAGAGATTAACTTTCTCAAGATTAAGCAACTAATTAGTGGTAAGCATGAGAATTAAATTACAGTAATTTTAAAGAGACAAAATCCACAAGGTACAGAGTTCCCAAGAAGAGATAACAAAGCAGAAAGCCAAATGGAAGCACATAGACAAGTCTGAACCCTAAAGTCCAAAAATCTGAACCCTAACCTGCATGGGTAAAGCCAACAAATACCCCCTATGGCTCAAGACATTAATGACACTAGAGTGCTCTGGAAGTGGTGGTAAAGTGAGGCTAATAACAGGAGGACTAGTGGGTGTCCAATCTGCAGCTCGAGGGCCATGTGCAGATTACATGAGGACTGTTTTGCTTATCTTTGGTGTTGGGTATTGTGAAAGGCATGCACGGAATGCTCTTTGGATTTTGTTAGTGTTTGCGTATTCATTGTGTGACTCAAGACAATTTTTACTCTTCTAATGTGTGGCAGAAAATAGCTTGGATACCCCTGAAAAGGGCTGTAGATCCCTGAGGTCTCTTTGCCCCCCAGAGAGCTGAGCAGCTATCCCTTCTCTGTGATGGAAGACTTAAGGTTAGAAGAAGGGATCTCTGGCCTGGAGCCACTAGCTACAGGTTGAGGGAGAGGACTGTACTGAAAAAACAAGGATATTAAAACAATGTTTACATACTGAGTGATAACAACTCTGGCTCTTTTTTCCACATATGGCTACCAAAACACTGGTTGCCAGATTTATACTCCTAAGTAGATTTTTCTTTCAGGAATCTTGCAAGCCTAAAAGAAGACTTTAAAATACTTAGAGCTGAGGATCCCCTAATAAAGCAACCCAGCCACAGTATTGACTACCATGGGCATAGAGCTTCCAATTGTCTTTTTTAGTGTCATAGTCTTAAGTATAACACAACAAATATTTGAGGAATGCATATAATATGAAAAGACAAACAAATGGATTCAATCAATGAGGAAGAAACAAATAATGGAAATGAAACTTCAAAAAATTACCATTAATATCCACAGAGATAAAGAGAAGATGTCATATGTTTGAAAAAGGAATAAGAGACTGAAAAATGTATTTAGAGAGCAAGAGGAAGCTCTTGAAAATTAAAAGTGTGATAGTAGAAATGAAAAACTCAAGGGTTAAAAGATAAAGTGAAGAAATGCCTCTAGAGTGCAGAACAAAACAACAGAGATAGAAAATGTTGGGGATGGGGAGACTATAAGGTAAGTGAAAAAAGCCCAACATTCAATAAATAAGAGTATTAGAGAGGACCTAGAGAGTGGATGAGGAGGACTTGATGAAAGATATCATCTTGAGAAAATTTCCCACAGCTGAAGGACGTGATTTTCTACAATGAAAGAGCCCAATACAGTGGATAAAATTAGACCCGTAACAAGTCACAATATTGTGAAATTTCAGAATGCTGTGAGAACAAAAAGATCTGCAAAGCTTCTGAAGAGAAAACAAAGATTATGAATTGAAATCATGAAAATTCTCAGTAGCAAAACTGGAAGCTAGAAGGCAATGCAGCAGTGCCTTTGGAAGTCTGGAGAAATACGATTTCCAACCTAGATTTCTATAGCAGTCAACCTACTAAATGAGCCTTAGTGAAGAGAGGGAAATTGTCAGACATAACTTTACCCCTCAGGAAGTTACCAAAGGCTTATGATACCAAACAAGGAAGCAGATCAGAGAGAGGGGAGGGGAGACAATTCAGCGGCAGAATAGCCGAGGCTTTAACTATACCAAGAGATTTTTTCAACTGGGGGACATTTTAGATATGTTCCTGATAACCAAAGAATGGAGAAAAAAGCAGTTATTAACTGTGGTTGGGGGTAGCTTGGAAGAAGGAAAATGTCATACTAAAAGACTCTGCTATGAAGAGCATTTATAATTAACTTTCAAATGTTAAATATTGAGCTAGCAAAAATTTTACAAAGACGTGGCCAACACATAAGAACATTCTGTAAGTATTTTGTAAAATTTTGTAATGACTATATTGTAAAAGTATAGTTACATTTATAGTTATATAAATAGTATATATAGTTTTATATATATACTATACTTAGCTACATTTCCCATTTTCTCTCTATATGGCAACTTGATGGGAGAGCTTTGGGACACCCTATATGTTGGAGAAGTAGTGGGTGAGTGAGAGTTGTAGCTTTCTCTTCTGTTGCTAGAAGCAAATAATACCACAAATTGAAATAAAATCAAATAGGCATGTCATTTAGAGATATGGAGATAGATACCACCCCCCTCAAAAACACCCCCCACAGGTATACATGAAACAACAACAAAACCAAGAAAAACAAAGTGAACTCAAACAGGATGAAAATGCCTCTGGGGAAAGGAATTTCAATTTTTATAACATGCCTTCTAGACCTATGATTTTATATACTATGTCCATGTATAACTTTGATAAAAATCAGGTTAAATGTTATTTGTGTAAATCAAGTTGCAGTTTAGTAAGATAGCTGAGTAGTTGAGCTAAAGAGCCCTCCTAGTATAATAAATTTTTATGTCACACTAATTTTGTAGTACATAAGTCTGATTTTATGTCAAAATGGGGTACACTGAAGTTGTAGTTTGATTAATCATCACTCAAAAAACTAAACTATGAACTAGGAAATAGCTACATAGAGCCATAATAATTGTTTATGACATATGTGCTGCAATATAATATCTTGTGTTTTACACAGAGCACGCCCAGTTACTTCTTTGTGATCTTACTCTACACTTCAGTCATCCCCCAAAGACAGAGGACTTAACCGAAACAGAAGGAAACAAGCCCCTCTATGAAGAGTCTCAAATCTCAGATGTATCCCTTGCTTCTAACAGTTTTTTTATCTGATTTCTTTTTTGTTTGTTGTGAATTTGTTTGTATTGTTGTATTAACAAATCTATGGAAGCATTGAATTTACTAATGTGTTTAATATAATTAAAAATAAAATAAAAATAATGTAGAGTTGTAAGTGATCACTTCCCGTTCTTGAGGGCTGTTTCATTGTGGTTTTAGTGCTCCTACCCAGTGGTTGCTTTGAAATCTACCCTGTCCCTCATTTTAGGTATTTTGAACATGAAGGGGAGAATACCATGAAGGAAGACACAAGTTGAGCTCACTCTATGACAGAACTTGTGATATCTGCTCAGTATTGTCCTCACTGCCCAGCAGCCAGCTCAGTGTTTAACACAGGACAGGCACTAAATACTTTTTGCGTATCCTGTTGAATAAATGCGTAAGTGAATGGAGGTTTTCCCCCTTAAAACTGCCAAGTTTGGGGCCCTAAATTGAGAACTTCTGGTTATAAAGATGTTTTGT